TAGCAAATCATTAACAGCAGTGCCTTGAAATACTGCAAGTAAATGATAAAAAAAATAATAATAATTATAATTGTCTTAAGTGTCTCTGTTGTTTAAATGAATATATATAATCTTTTAAGATAAACAGATTACCCTAATGGACCCAGAATTTCATCTGCCCCGATATGCTGGGTGACAAAAGCGAGCATTTTCTGCCGAGGTCTGGCTCCAGCTCCTGCCCAGGGCCCAGCTGCCTGCGTGCAGCGGCCTCTCTGGGCGATGCGCGTGTGCACAGGGCCGGACCACGGAGGAAAGGGAGGGCCGAAGGCGGCCGCACCACGCATTCCTGTGCCTCCGCGTGACCTCCGGAAAGAGTCAGTCTTGCTCCTGATCACGCCAGGGCGATTCGTAGCAGCCATGCTGCTAGGACGGCGCTGCGGCCCAGCTAATAAGCATGCGCTCATTCCCTAATATGAAGTTAGGAAGTTCTTAAGAGAACTTAAACCGGCATGAAAGGCTCCACCAACACTGCAGAGGCACCATCACCGGAAAGCCCGTGGGGGAGCCGCGGGCCACAGGACAGCAGCCCGTGCGTGCGTCGGGCGAAGGGGGCAGCTTCTGTCGAGGGTGAAATGGGAAGCCATTCCAGCCCATCTCAACTCTCTTCCACCATCCTGAGAGGCACAAGGACAATGACTGCTGCTTTCAATTGTAGGGGGAGCACTGAAAACGCAATGGGAGAGTTTGCTGAATCCCCACGAGACTCCCCCTACCTGGATGCGCGGTAGCGCTCACTTTCTGACAATCGCCACAGGATGGCAGCAGGCAGACGTGACGGGGTTGTCCCTGCGCGGAACTGGGATCACATACTGGAAATAGAGAAACAGTGCAAGAGCAAGGGTCTGAGGATGAAAAAACAGAATAGGGGCGTCCTTAGAGTTTGCGGGGAAGCTAATCAAGAATGAGGAGAGAGAATCAAGAGAGAGAGAAGCTAATCAAGAATCAAGAGAGAGAGAATCTAATCAAGAGAGAAGCTAATCAAGAATCAAGAGAGAGAGAAGCTAATCAAGAATCGAGAGAGAGAGAGAGAGAGAGAGAGAGAGAGAGAGAGAGAGAGAGAGAAACAGACAGACAGAGAGAGAGAGAAACAGACAGACAGAGAGAGAGAGAGAGAATTTTGGGCTATGCACGAGTTAGGCAGTTCATAGACCCAAAACTATTTTTGGTGAACTTTGCTTTATTCTATATAATTTATAAAAATGTTAAATATGATAGAGAACTTTAATACCTGCATTTGAGTCACATTTTCCTTTTCAACATGCCCCCCTCTTTTTTTAAAGCAAATGATTTTTTTTTTTAATGTATTTAGTAACAGGGCCTACGGGGTCTCACTATGTATCTCAGACTCACAGTTATTCTCCTGTTTTCAGCCTCCCAAGCACTGGGATTACAGGCATGTGACACCACACCCAGTCTTGGTCACCGTCTCAGTGTGCCCTGGGAACAGGGCCAGCCAGCATGTCGAGGATCAAATCCCAATCCCTGCACCTGCCTAAGCAGGTACTTTAATCTGCTGAACTATCTGGCCAGCCCTACAAATGATTATAGTTTGTTAAAACATACACTGCTTCTCTGAGACAAAACCGTTTTTTAAGAAATGATACAGAATAGTTTGGGAAAATATCTTCAAACCAAATATTATGAGAGTATTTCTAGCACAGCTGTGTGCCATAGTACACTCTTGGGGCTTGGATCCAGGCTACCAGCCCCCCAACATGCTCAGGCGCTCAAAGTGGCGCTCTGCTGAAGGGACTGGATCCCAGGGGACACCAAGCTCACTGGTGGTTGGTCCTTTAATTCCTTGGTTAGGGTTAATTCCTAAGTACTTATTATTTATTTATTTCCTTACTTATTTATGATGCTGTTGTGGATAATATGGTCTTCCTAATTTCTTTCTCAGTGAGATTCTTTTTAGTGTGCAGGAATACTGCTGATTTTGTGCCTTGATTTTGCATCCTACTACCTTGCTGAATGTGGTTAATGCTAGGAGTCTTAACATGAAATGGTGGGGGTCTTATAAGTACAAGATTATGTCATCTGCAAAAACAAAGATAATTTGACAGCATATACGTACCATGTACAAACACACACACACACACACACACACACACACACGTCCCTTTTTGTTCTTTTTTGGCCTCATTTCTCTGGCTAATGTTTTGAGCACAGTGCTAAATAGGAGTAGCAATAGTTAAGGCAGTTATAGTTTTGAATTTACAGAACTGCAATTAGGAACACTAATAATGGGTAGTGATATTTAGCAGTTGATAAACTTTTATAACTAATGGGTTTGTATTTTAGACAGTAAGAGCAAACATTATGTCTGTATAGTTAAGCAGATATTTAATTGGGGATTTGTAGTTGAGTTATATCTGCTAAGTTCTGTCTGATCACCTCCCCTTGATGTATCTGGTGTTTTCCAGGAAGACTAGTTCACCCCGGTTACCTTTGCCCCCTCTCTCAGTCAAGAGAGAAAGAGGGAGGATGCTCTTATAGATCTGGGTCTAGCAAAGTGCCTCAGCTTACTGGGTGCAGATCTACGAAGTCTGAACTCGTCCCGATGTGCCTGACTTGGGTCTGGCTGCTGTGCTCAGCTTCTTCCTGCTGCAGCCCTTGGCAGTGAACCTGTTGTGCCCCTCTGGCAAGATGTCCATTTTTGACTGGGTCTTTGAATTTGGGGGGTCTGATTCTTTAAATTATTTATATGTTCTAGATAGAAGTCCTTTGTCTGAGGGAGTGTTATCCAAAGCTTTTTTCTACTCTGTGGGGGTGTCTTGTCACTCTGTTGGTGATTTCTTTCAGATCCCAGCTGTTGATTACTTGTAGCATTTCCCATGCAGCTTGGTTTTTGTCTATGAACTCTGCCTACTCCTGTCTTTAACATTTCTGTGTATTTTCTCTTCCAGTAGCTTCAGAGTTTCTGTTTTAATATTTAGATATTTAGTATGTTTTGATTTTAATTTATTCCATGGTGGTAGACAGGGGTCTAGTTTTAACCTTTGGCATGTAGACAGAAAGTTTTTTCAGCTTCATTTATTAAAGAGATCATCTTTGGACTCTTTATCAAAGATAAGGTGGCTGAGTGTGCTTGTAGCTGTGTCTGCACCTTCTAATCTCTTCCACTGATGCTCTGGCTTTTTTTTTTTTTTTTTTTTTTTTTTTTTTTGCTTGTACCATGCTGATTTTTTCACAATAGCTTTGTAGTATAGTATCAAGTCAGGAATTGTGGTGCGCCTCCTGCCTTTCCTTTGTTGCCCAGGGTTGCTTTTGCTATTCTAGGTCTCTTCTGGTGCCAGATGAATTTTAGGAATGTTTCCCCTAGATCTGTGAGGCATGCTAATGATATTTTAATTGGGATTTGGGGATCTGTACAACAATTTTAGGAATATGGCCATTTTCACTTTGTTGGCTTTTCCTATAAATGAGCAAGGGATAACGTTCTGTTTTATGACATGCTCCTCAATCTCCTTTCTCAGAGTACTGTAATTTTCACTATATATATTCTTTACTTCCTTTGTTAGATTCCTAAATATTTCCTTTTTTAATGCTATTTTGAAGGGCGTGATTCGTCTAATTTCTCTCTCATTGTGTTTGTTCCTTGTGCATAGGAATGCTAATCATTTCTGAGTGCTGACTTTGTATCCAGATACACTACTGAATTTGGTTATTAAATCTACTTGGGGTGGAGTTTTGAGGTCTTCTATACATAATATCATGTCATTTGTGAATAATTATTATTTCACTTCTTCCTTTCTAATCATTATTCCTTTTATTTCTCTCTCTTAACTAATTCCTCCAACTAACGTTTCCAGAACTATATTGAACAGGAATAATGACGAAGGATATCCTTGTCCTGTCCCTAATTTTAAAGTCAAAATTTTCGGGTTTTGTCCATTTAGTATGATGTTGGCTGTTGGTTTGTCATAGATAGTTTTTATCGGGTTAAGGTAAAACTACCTCTTCTGGTTTTCTGTAGATGTTTTATCAAGAATGAGTGTTGAACTTTATCAAGAGCTTTTTCTGCATCTATTGAGATGATCATGGGTGTGTTCTTCTGTGGGTGGAGCATTCCAGAACCTGGGTGTGGTCTCCTGTAGGTGGAGCATTCCAGAACCTGGGCGTGGTATCCTGTGGGTGGATTGCTTGGGAGCCCAGCCACTGGCTCCTCCCTTCTGCACCAGACACTTCCACACTGCTGGTCACTCTGATTACACAGCATTCCTGGGGCTGACCTATCCTGGGCGTCATGGGTTCTATCCAGTCAGTCTGCCTCTCAAAGGCATGTATGTGCTCATGAGTCTGGGGCCTGCCTTCTGTTGACCCATTCTTACATCCCTGGATAAAGACGACTTGGTAATGGTGTATAATTTTTTTGCTGATTTGTTGCATTCTGTTTGCCAGCATTTTGTTGCGGATTTTTATACCTATGTTCTATAGGGATATTGGCCTGTAGTTTGCTTTGTTGGGGTGGATTCCTGTATAGTTCTAAATTAAGGTAATGCTAGCTTCCAAGAATGGTCTTGAGAGTACTCCTTCCTTCTCAGTTTCATTAGAGCTTGAAGAACATTGGTGGAAGATCTTCCATAAAGTTCTTGCAGTATTAGCAGTGAATCCATTAAGTTCTGGGCTTTTCTTAGCTGATACTATTTTTGTTACTGTTTCAGTTTTATGTCCTGCTATTGATTCATGATTATTCGTGATTTATAAATCTTCTTGGTTTAGTTTTGTTAATTCATTTGTATCTAGTAATCTAGCAATTTCTTCTGAGTTCTCTAATATTTTGGCATACAGGTTTGGGAATTAGTGCTAATAATGTGGATTTCTGCAATGTAAATTATGAGTTCACAATTTTTGTTTTTAATTGCATTGATTTGTCTTTTGTTTTTGTCAGTTAAACAGAGAGTTTGTCTATTTTTTTTCTGTTCTTTTAAAGAACAAGCTTTTTTATGTATTTGGTATGGGCTCTTCAGAGTCTACAGGGTCTCACTGCGTAGATCAGATTCGTAGTGATTCTCCTGTTTTCAGCCTCCCAAGCACTGGGATTACACGCTCACACCACCACACCCAGTCTCAATTGCTGTCTCAGTGTGCCCCAAGGCTGGGGCCAGCACAGCACACCGGATTGAGCCCCAGCCACTGTGCTCTGCCTAAGTAGGCACTTTAGTCCACTGAGCTATCTGGCTGGCCCTCAAAGAACAAGCTTTTTGATTCATTAATTATTTGTGCTGATTTTAGTCTCTGTTTCATTTGATCTTTAGAGTCTCTTTCTTGGTACAAGCTCTGCATTCTGACTGAGCTATTTTTGTAGGACCCTGAGCTGTATCATTCGGCTGTTTATTTGGTCTCGTTTTTCTGATGTGATCACTCACAGCTAAAACTTTCCTCTCAGGACTGCTTACGCTGGCTCTCACAAATTCTGGTATACTGTACCGGCATTATCCTTTAATTATAGCAATTGCATTATTTCTTATTTTTTACTATGCCATTATTAGAAATGCCATCAGGGGGTTATGGTGTATGTGGGGAAGAAGAGAAAGAGCAAGAGACAAAACTACGGGGGTGTAGCAGGGCTCAGGGATAACCAGTTGCTCTCTGGGAACAAAAGGCCCAGTACCCCCAGCCAGCCATCATTTTATCAAAGGGAGTGGTATCATGCTTTTCCCAGAGCATGAGAAGACAGAGACAGAGTGGTTAAAAGGGCAAGTTTAGTTTTAGTTTTCAGCAGGTAGAGAGCCAGTTTTTCCAGCACCATTGGTTAAAGAGGCTATCTTTCTTCCAGTGAGTATGTTTGGCCCCTTTGTCAAAGATAAGGTGGCTGAGTGTGTTCGTAGGGGCTTCACTGTCTTCTAATCTATTCCATTGATGCTCAGGTCTATTTTGTTGCCAGTACCATGCTGATTTTATCACAGTAGCCTTGTAGAATATTTTTTTTTTTTTCGGAACCGGGGATTGAACTCTGGCCCTTGCGCTTGCCAGGGAAGCACTTATTCCACTGAGCCCTCTCCCCAGCCCTTGTAGAATAATTTCAAGTCAGGAATTGTAATGCCTCCTGCCTTGTCTTTATTGCCCAGGATTGCCTTTGCTATTCTAGGTCTTTTCTGGTTCCAAATAAAATTTAGGAATGATTTCTCTAGGTCTGTGAGGTATGATACTATTATGGACTACTGGACTCTTTTGGAATATTTTGCTGAGTTCACACACCTATAATAGTCAAATGATGGTGCTAAATAAAAAAGGGGATAAAGATGGAGGTCCATTTTGTATCTGTGTATTCAAAATGGTTAGGATAGATATATAGTTACATTCTCTTAATGAATAGAGGGATTTGTTCTAATAGTGTTTGTAAATAGGATATCATGTCCGCATCTTGTACAGCAAATAACCACTAGGAAGACAGCATGCAATGTGTTAACTATTGAAACTGTCCTACCAATTTGATTTGACACTGACTCGTTGCTGTTTGTTTCTCAATAAAATTATGGAGAAAAAAATAAAATAAAAAATAAAAGAGCAAGTTTCACATCATAAAGGAAACAAGGTAAGATTCATCTCCATGCTTGCGCACTAATTTCCTTGTGTTGCCCTCAGCAGATTTCGTCCTGCTCAATAAGCATCATCAAGAAGACAGGAAGGGGTCGGGGGGGGGGGATGGCTCAGTGGAATAAGTGCTTCCCTGGCAAGTGCAAAGGCCTGAGTTCAATCCCCGGTTAAATAAATAAATAAATAAATAAATAAAAATAAATAAGTAAAAGAAGACAGGAAGCAGGATTTCTGCAATCCAAAACTGGCCCACAACACAAGGGCAAGTCAGTTTTTAATTTATGGTCCCCAACAGTGACCCACTGTTTATTTAAGAGTGTGTTGTTAAGTTTTGATATGTTTGCACAGTTTCTCTGATTTACTTTGCTATTGATTTCTAGTTTCATTGGACTGGGATCTGATGATACACATAGTAAAATTTTATTCTTTTGCATCTCCTTAAATATGACTAATTAGCTAGTATGTGCTCTATTATGGAGCATATTCCATGTGCTGCTAAAAATAACATGAATTCAGTACATTATTCAAAGATTTGTTTAACTCTAAAATTGTTTTGTTGATTTTTGTTTGTTTGCTTAGTTGATCTATTTGTGGTAGTGGTGTACAGAGGTTCCCTACTGTAGTTGATAGAGATTGAGCTGATCTCTTATGTCCATTACTGTTTACTTTATGAAGATGGTTGGACAATATTTTGGCGTATATATGTTTATAACTGGTATCTCTTGTTGAATAGTTTCATTAACCAATTTGTGATATCTTTGGCCTTTTTTGATCAACTTTGCTATAAAGCCCATTTTGTCTGAAAATAAGGTAGCTATTCTAGATTGCTTTCAGGCTCCTGTTGTATGGAGTATTATTATTGTTGTTGTTGTTGTTGTTATTTATTTGATACATAGTCTTGCTATGTCCAAAGCTCGGACTCATAGTGATCCTCCTGTTTTCAGCCTCTGCAGCGCTGGGATTACAGGTGTGTGCCACGACACCTGGCCTCAGTGGCCAGTTCAGCATTCCTGGGCATGGGGCTGGTGTGACACATGGGGCTGGGGAGTGAACTCCAGTGCCTGTACTTACTTAAGCAAGCATTTAGTCCACTGAGCTATCTCACCAGCTCTGGAATATTATTTTTATTGTTTGATTTTTAGTCTGTGGATTTGTGGGGGGTTAAATATATTTCTTGTTAAATAGTATACTTGGATTTTGTTTCCTGACCCATTCTGCTAGCTTTAAAACTTGTTTCATTTTCTAATTTTTGTCTTCTCCCCCAGAGATAAGATGAAGTACATTGAGTATAACAGATAATGAGCCAGGACTAGCTGAAATTCTTGAAGTAATTGTGAGTGGTGGCTGAAAAAACACCAATGTGGTGTTTTAATTTACATGAAACTATGCACTTACTGATTTTTTTTTTAAGTAAAAATGTAATGCTGTTTGGAACCCCAGCGCATGGCCCTGACCTCCTGGTTGGTGCTACAGCAAAAGGCTGCAAGTAAAAATTCCAAAGACCCTGAAGCAGCCAGATCTGTCAGTGTTCACTGGCTGCACAATTGTTCTGAAGAATGGGGTGAGGCGCCTACTTATGGTCGCTAGGGAGAAGATGCAGAGGTAGGCAGGGGCTGTAAGCGGGAGGCAAAGCATTCTCACATTACAAATAGAGGACACCAAGGACAGGTCATGGATAACAACTAATTTGCTTTTCAAGTGAAATGGACTACAATCCCAGAAAGGAATTCAGGCAAGAGCCACGCTGTCTGCAGCTGTCCTGTCATATCGGAGCTCCACAACTCCACACACCATGTCTCTCTTCTCTGCTGTGGCCCCTGGTGAAGGGTTGAGCTCATCTGCATGCCATCCACAGTGCGCTTCTGAGTGTCACCTGACTCAGTCCATAAAACAAGCCAGGTGTGGGTTAGCTCTTCACAGCCTGCACTGCTTGTAGCCTGCTCTGAGTATAATCAGCTGGGCAGTCTGCCACACAAGCACTACATATATTTAAAATTTTTATCTTGTTCTTATCCATCCAGCAGAAAAGTATAAAAATGAGGTATATAAAGTTAAGCCATGATGAGCTGTAAAAGGCTCAAGTCAACAACTTCTGAGGAGAACCCACTACTATTATGGACTGCTGGACAATGTTGGATTGTTTTGCTGAATTTATGCACCTATAGTACTTAGATGCCAATGGAATACCCACTTCTGACAGGACTAAACAAAAAAGGGGATACAAAGGAAGGACCATTTTGTATCTGTATATACAGAATAGTTAGGATTGATATACAGCTACTTCCGCTTAATTCACTGAGAAAAAAGATGTGTACTAACAGTGTTTGGACAGGATATCCTGTCTGCATCTTGTGCAATGGATAACCACTAAGAAGATAACAATATATAATGTATTAATTATTGAAACTGTCCTGTTAATCAGCTCTGAAACTGTCTCATTGATATTTGTTCCTCAATAAAAAAATAAGTAAAATATTAAACTCAAAAATAAATAAATGATAAAATTTTTCTCTTGCATTCATGTAAGTTAGTTTTGACCTGCACATTAGAAACATCTGTTGTGGTCTGGGGAGACAGCTCGGTGGTCTGTGTGCTTGCCTGACAAGCTCAGGGACCAGAGTTCGATTCCTGGCACCACATGCTGCACCAGCCCAGTGCCAAGCTGGCCGCTGGAATGGGGCATGGTGGCACATGCCTGTAATCTCATTGCTGGGGAGGCTGAGACAGGAGGATCACTATGAGGCTGAGCTGCATAGTGAGACCCTGTACCAAATAAATAAATAAATAATTTTTTAGAAAAAGAAAAACATCTGTGGAGTTTTTCAAATATTGATGTCAGGGTCTCATCTCCAAACAGTTACATCAGAATTTGTCAGACCTTGAGACTGGACCCCAGGCACTGGTAGTTTTCAATCCACTAATGGTGTGTGGGACCCTTTCCCACTGGGGCCTTCTGACAGTTACAGGTAAGACCACTTAATGGCTTAGCAGCACATAGTGCTGTTCCTTTACCAAGAGCCAGGGACAATCCCAACTCCAGACAGGACAAAGCTCCAGTTCACCAGGGTTTAAAACTTCACCTCCATTCTGGGGTCTCTTGCCTTGATATACACCAGCAGAGCATGAACTAATGTTCACAACACTAGTTATAGCACACCCATATTTGCAACTTACTCTTATGGGATATTGTTCAACTATGTTTTCTTCAAGCTAATTACTTAAGCCTTAGGATTATCCCGTAGGACTGGAAAGTTTTGTTAGCTCCTTTTAGGAAATAAAGAAGAATAAAAACCAAATAAAGAAATAAAGAGAGAATTTTAAGAACTGACCCACTCCAGCACTCCTGCTAGGCCTCTGTGCACTCTGTCACCTACTTCCTGGCTAAAATGAGTAAGTAGGATTGTTTTGCTGTTAACTTTTTAAAAATTTGCTTGTCCTCTAAATTAGATGAGGAGCTATAGGAAACTTAGGCAGCTTATCTGCATCTGAATAATTATGACTTGTTCTTCATTAATTTAGTTCTTGATGTTACACTACATACTAAAATATATATCTAAATAAATAGATCTATAGAGTGATGGATTAAAAATTTAAGAGTGAAATTATAAAAGCCTAAACAGCCAAGTATTATGCAGCCATTAAAATTTATTATAGTGAAGAATGTCTAATACCACGTGAGCTATTTGTGTAAGATGTTAAGAAAACAAGATGCAGAACTATTTAAAATTCCACAGAGATGAACACGGGAAGAGTCAAGTGGAAAGAAAACGGCCGCTCCCGCTGGGACACGGGGCTGTGGGTCACTTTGCTGTCTTTCCATCTTTATTCCCATTTTTGATACTTTTCTACAGTGAGATTTGTGACTTTTGTTTCTGTTTTGTTTTGGTTTGGTTGGGCTGTTTTGTATTTTAGGACAGGATCTACAGGTTCTACAGGGTCTCACTTCATGGATCAGACTCGTAGCCATCTGCCTGTGTTCAGCCTCCCACGAGCTGGGCTTACAGCGCCACCACATCCAGTCTCCCTGGGGGCAGGGATGGCACAGCAGGCCGGGGATCAAACCCCGGCCCGTGTCTGCCTAAGCAGATGCTTTAGATTTGTGACTTTTGTAATGGGGAAAATATTAAATTTTCTTAAAAGACCATTGCGTTTCTCCTGGAGAGGGTTCCCGAGGGCTGAACTAACGGGGGCTGGCAGAAGTGGCAGTGTAAGTAGTGAGGAGCCTGCAGGACCCGGCCAGCCTCTGGGAGAAGCAGGAGGGAGGCGAGGGACAAGTGCCAACCTCTCCTAAGTGTGCCCACTGAGGGCTGGTGGGCCTAAGGAAGAGTAACACTGAGAGCGATTTATGACAGCATAATGTACATGGCTTTCTGGGGCATTCAGACAGAGACACTAAGCAGCTGTGAAGATTCTAAATTACAGCCAGGTGTGAAGAACAGACCTATAATCCCACTACTCTGGGAGGATGAGACAGGGAGGTTGCAAGTTCTAGCCCAGCCTGCAGTACTTAGTAATTAGCAAGACCCTGCTAAATAAAAAAGTGAGGTGCAGCTCAGGGCAAAGGTCTTGAGTTCAACCTCTGATACCCAAAAGCAAAAGCAGAAGGAGAAGAGGAGTGGGAAGAAGAAAAACTTGAAGACTCAAGAGAGCTTGGGTGAAGACTTGACACTTGGAAGTCACTGGTGAGGAGCCAGCGGGGGCATGGACAATGGCACTGTTCTCTCCAGAGGAGACTACACTGATGGTCTCTGAAAAAAAGACACATTATGGACAATATATGGAAATTTTGTATTCAATAAGAAAGGAAAATTAACATTTGAAAATTAACATCCTTGAAAGTTGAATCTATCAAATGTTCATAAAAAACTTCTTATATTAAGAAAAAATGTATTTCAATTTCATGTGTAAATCCAACTATAGTTAAGCAAGATAAACTCTCACTCAACAGGGGACCAAGCTAGGTATGGTGGCACATGCCTGTAATCCCAGTACTTGGGAGGCTGAGGCAGGAGGATGGTTGCAATTTCGAGACCAGCCTGGACCACAAAATGAGCTCAAGGCCAGGCTGAAATGCAGAGCAAGACCCTGTCTCAAAAGGGGGGAGCGGCAGGGGACCAGTACTGACTCTCTCCAACAAATAGGAGTGAGGTCCTCTTCGCTGAGCATGAGGAGCAGAAAGGATAAGCCTGCTGCTCACCAAGAATTCATACAGCTATTCGACATTTCTTAGGCACCTAGTGTACATCAGACACTGCTCTGTGTTGGATTGCCAAGCTGCAAACATAAGAAAGACAGAAAGGAAGACTGCCTGCGTCCAGGATGGCTTCTGTCTTCATCAGCCAGCCCACGTTGTAGACTTTAAAGAAAAGCACAGAAGAGAAACCTGTGCACAGTCCAAGAGACAGGAGGAAGCAACAGACCTCTGGAGCATCCCAGGGCCAGGTGCAGCTGAGATAGGTCACCTAGGGGCAGCGAGGAACAGAGTCTCATGGGAAATGGGCAAGTGCACTCTCAGTGCTTGAACCTGAGAGGTTGTAAATGCTAAAAACTAAATAGAGGTCAGCGGACTAAGTTCCTGCTTAGGCAAGCCCAGGGACCAGGGTTGATGTCCAGCACCACATGCTGTGCCACACACCCCCAGGGTGCACTGAGCCAGCAACCTACTCCAGGCATGGTGGTGCACACCTATAATCCCAGTGCTGGGTAGGCTGAAAACAAGAGGACCACTACAAGTCTGAGCTGTGTAGTGAGCCCCTGTACCAAATACATTAAAAAATAAAATAAAATAAAAAACATACAGAGATGAAGGTGAGGTCAATCCCAGAAAGATAGCAGGACCAGTACCAGAGATCTCTTGTGAATGACCTAAAAAGATGGCCAGCAAATTCACATGGTTGTGTCAGGCAGAGGTCTGGGGTCTGGACTCCTCCTTGGAAGAGACCCTTGGCTTCCTAGTTCCTCCCCCTGGAATGCAGACAAAGGTGGAAGGAAGCTGACTGAGAACTACAAGTTTCTCTGGTGTGGAGTGAGAAACTCAGATAAGGAAAGTGAACAGAAGCAGAAGTTTTACTCATAATATTGCAAAGTGAGGGTCTCAGCTGGACCTCTTTGCCTTGTCCATATTTACAGGGGTAAGCTGATTTTGTAAAAATAGCTATCTCTCTCATTGGTAAAAGCAATTTAGCCTTTGTTTTTCTGGTGAGCCAAGGTTCACAGGAGCTGTGGACATGCAGCAAAGCGTAAGCCAAGGGCCTACAAAGGGAAGTTCTTCTGGTACCTCAGGTCATGCAATTATCACTACTGTGCGAACCCCTGGGTCATGCCCTGTGCTGCCCACTCCGCCCTAACTATCTCTACACATGTTCTCACTAAGAGGGGCCCCAACAGGGTAGTCTCTCTCATCTGTTTTCCTGATTGTCAGATAAGGAAGATGAAAATGACAAGCTTATCCCTGGTACCGCCAAAAAAAAAAAAAAAAAAGAAAAAAAGAAAACGACAAGCTCATTGTTAAAGAGGGCTGTGCATGCGTGCTTGTGTGCTTGTGTGTGTGTGCTTGCATGCGTGCATATGTGTGCGTGAACACAGATGGGCAACTCCTATTCTGTGATGAACTAACCTGGGAAAAGAGGAACTAAAGAAATTGTCTGTCAACGGGACGTTCCCTAAAAAATGTTGCTTCCTGTTAGCTAGCCTGGGAAAGAGAAGTTACCATTCTAAAAATGTGCTCTAACTTAGAATGCATTGTGCAAAAAACAGAAAGCAAGGTAACCTTGTTAAGGATTTAAGGCCAAACCTTTCAGTTTGAAAATACATTATGAAACTTTATTTTCCCCTAGCAATACAAAGCAAGTAGACAATACTTTCTGGAAGGTCAGGGTCTTGCAGATGTCTCAGAAGCCAAGAAGCTAATGAGGACCCCCCCCTGGGGGTGGGGTGGGGGGGTGAGCTGATGTGGATGGAGGTTTGGAAGGCTCAGCCCAGGACAAGCGTGGCCCTGGCTCCAACACCCGCAGTCCCAGCACAGGTGCGTGAGGAAGGGCACCTGCCCCAGGAGAGAAACTGGCTTTGGATCAGGGATCAGAGCAGAAATTGCACATTGATGCCCCTTCTTCCCTGGGACACAGTGCCCTATAATTCAGATTTTTTACCCTTTTCAGTCCACATAAGGAGTGCTGGATTTTCTTGGACTGTTTAGGAAAGTTGGGGAGAGTTTTAGAAAACTGTCTTTATGCTTCCATCTTAGGACAGAAGGAACTAACCCAGCATTTTATTTCATCTTTCTAGAAAACATATACTTAAAATTACAGTATCATAGATGAATAACTGGAACTTTGGAGATACATAGGTCTTTTTTGAGACAAAAATGTGGAGCACAGCAAAGTTCATAATCTCTTTATCACTGAATACTCACATAATTTTCAATTAATTTTAGCTCAAAGACTGCTTTTAAAGTTTTAAGGGCTGATCCCAGCCACGCTGCAATTACAAAAGCACATTGTTTCCCTTCTGCTGAGGTCTGTCGTGAAGAGGTGGACGAGGTGGACGAGGAGCGCAAAGCACTGACGCCCTCCCTCCTCTTATCAGTGGCTTCCCTGCTTCCCCTGTGCCAGCCAAGAAACAGGAAGGGGAAAGAGTGCTTTATACAGCCTGGGGGACACCACCGGGACCCGAGCACCGAGCATCCCCTCCCGAGCTCCCACTCAGAGCCCAAGACCTCAGGGCCTCGGTACCAAAGGCCAGAGCCCAACAGAGCAGAGAGAGGTCGCTGCCAACAGAGAGCCCTGGCGTGAAAGAGGCCCGCTGTGCCCAGCGCTCTTCCTGCCGAAGCCCCTCCCCAGCTGGTACATTTGCACCATGAAGACCTTGATTCTTCAGGAAAACGTCCTTATATAACAATAGGAGTAAAGTCTAGAGTTTATTCTCTTGAAATGTATATTTGCATTTTAAGAGATTTTCTGCAAAGCCGAAAGTCCCAAGACTTTAAGAAGTGACCAGCTCTCTGCTCCTGCATGTCCTTCAGTAACCGTTCTTTCCATACAGCCAGCAGCGATCCAGACAAGATGGTGAAGGTTGGAGTGAATGGATTTGGCCGTATTGGATACGTGGTCACCAGGGCTGCTTTTAACTCTGGCAAGGTGGATGTTGTGGCCATAAATGAACCCTTCATTGATCTCAAATACATGGTCTACATGTTCCAGTGCGATTCCACCCACGGCAAGTTCCACGGCACTGTCAAGGCTGAGGACGGGAAGCTCGTCATCAACAGAAAGGCCATCACCATCGTCCAAGTGCAAGATCCCTCCAACATCAAGTGGGTGATGCTGGCACTGAGCACGTGCTGGAGTCCACTGGTATCTTCACTACCACACAGAAGGCCGGGGCTCACCTGAAGGGTGGTGCTAAAAGGGTCATCACCTCTGCCCCTTCTGCCGATGCCCCCATGTCTGTGATGGGTGTGGACCATGAGAAGTATGACAGTCCTTCAACATTGCCGGCAGTGCTTCCTGTACCACCAACTGGCCAAGGCCATTCATGACAACTTTGGCATCATGGAAGGACTTATGAACACAGTCCACACCATCACTGCCACCCAGAAGACTGTGGACGGCCCCTATGGGAATCTGTGACATGATGGCCTCAAGGCTGCCCAGAACATCATCCCTGCATCCACTGGCACTGCCAAGGTCATGGGCAAGGTCACCCTGGAGCTCAACGGGAAGCTCACAGGCATGGCCTTCCGTGTGCCCACTCCCAACATGTCAGTGGTGGATCTGACCTGCCACCTGGAGAAATCAGCTAAATACGATGACATCAAGAAGGTGGTGAAGCAGGCATCAGATGGTCCCCTCAAAGGCATCCCAGGTTACACCAAGGACTAGGTTGTGTCTTGCGACTTCAACAGTGACACCCACTCTTCCACCTTTGATGCTGGGGTTGGCATCGCCCTGAATGACCACTTTGTCAAGCCCATTTCCTGGTATGACAGTGAGTTCGGCTACAGCAACAGGGTGGTGGACCTCATGGTCCACATGGCCTCCAAGGAGTAAGTGGCCACCCCACCACAGCCCAGTGAGACCAAAGGGACAGACAGGCCACGCTGTAGAAGTCACTGCCCTACTCAGTCCCAACACTGAGAATCTCCCCCGCACCACTTCCATCCCAGGCCCTCTAGAAGGGGAGGGGCCTCGGGAGCCCTGGCTCACTGCCCTTGTACACCATCAGTAAAGCCCATGGTACCCAGAAAAGAAAAAAAAAAAAGGAGAAGGATAAGGAGAAGAAGAAAGAAGAAGTAACAATGCTATTAAAGGTGTCCTCTAAATTCCGGCCATGGCCACTGCCCCAGCAGTGGGCCCCCTGAGGCAGGAGCAGCCTGTGAGCCTGGGCCACCACCTAGCATTGATTGATCATGTGTACCAAGAAGGCTTTTGGTAAATATTGTTTGAACAGATATTGAATCAAGACATAAGCATCAGCATTCTTCATACCTTGAAAAATGAAGGGTCAGTGAGATAGCTCAGCAGATTAAGCGCCTGCTTTGGCAAGTGCAAGGACCAGGGTTCCATCCCTGGTCCTGCATGACACACTGGCCCCAGCCCATAGTGCACTGAGCCAGCAAGGGAGTCTGGGCGTGGTGGTGTATGCCTGTAATCCCAGCTCTGGGGAGGCTGAAAACAGGAGGATAGCCTCAAGTTCAAGATGCATAGTGAGACCCTGCATATACCTTGAAAAATACACAAAAATTGAAAACATTCTCAGAAAAAAAACTAATGGAATAAAGAAAATATTTAGGGGTTTTCTTTATTGATGGCTGCTTTAGGCAAACTGAAGGTTTAATAATTTGTTAACTTGGCCATATATTCTATTCTCCTTAAAAATAAAATGATTACTCATAGGTGGTTATAAAATAGAAACAAGGAATAATCTAATCTCAAAGGAATTCTAAACTACATTTTTTTTTCCAGTACCAGGGATTGAACTCAGGACCCTGTGCTTGCCAGGCAAGTGCTTATTCTACTGAGCTATCTCCCCAGGCCTAAACTACTTTCTTCTAAGTGCTTTTATTGTCGATTTCCCGCCAAAGAACGTCTGCTCAGTGTTGTTCTATTTTGTTTTTCTGGAAAGTAAAATAACAATTATCAGAAAAAGAAATAAGCATCTGTATACAACGAAACAAGAATTTTTCCTGAATCATATCAGTGGTAAATGTTTCCTTTTAATCCGTTGCTTTTCCTTTAAGAAAAAAAGATACAGTTGTGTCTCATAGCAAGAGGGAAATGAAGTGGCTCCCTGTACGTTTTGATGTGGTGTGTGTTAGGGAAGACATGCCTATTGCTTTGCCTGTGCTTTACATATTCTTTTAACTGTGCAAATACCCTCACAAATCTGCCCACAAGCGCTGAACAGCGCCACGCCTTCATCCTTGAGCTTCCTAAACAGCACTTGCAATCCTTTTGTGATTTTCCATTTTGTGAGCACAAGGCCGTATGTTAACTTGGAGCTTCAAGGGTTTGGGGGGGAGGGGGGTCACGGGGGGTTCTCGCCACGCAGCTCAGGCTGGGCTTGAGCTCACTTTGCAGCCAGGCTGATCTCAGACTCAAAACAATTCTCCTGCCTCAGCCTCCCAAGGGCTGGGAGTACAGGCGTGCGCCACCGTGCCTGGCCTTTAAGTTCTGGCGGCGAATGAAATTCAAAGCCAAACCCAGGAGAAATCCTCTAAGAAAGCCAGCCCAGGGTGCCTCAGCAGTGCCGCCCAGAGCCCTGCGCGGCCTCAGTTGCAGGTAAGTCTTCCAGGGCTTGCAGCACGCTCCGCTCACCTCTGCCTGCGTTCAGCTGCCACGCGTGCTGCGGCGTCCGCCGTGCTGGGCGCATGCTAAAATAACGCCCTCGGCAGCGGTGTACACCAAAAAGCGCTTCAACCTCAGGAGACCTGCCGATCTGCACTTTGGCAGCCACCCTCAAAGACTCCCCGACGTGAGGAACGAAACTCCTCACAGTTCTAAATTCCCCGAGGCCACCAACGGATCTCCACGGTCCAGCCACCGAGGGGACTGATCAACCTCAGATGACAGCCCTGCTCAGGAATCCATTCCGGGGCCGGCCAAATAGCTCAGCGGATTAAAGCGCCTGCAAGGGCACAGGGACCGCGGTTTGATCCCCAGGCCTGCCGGGCCGGGCCCGCCCAGGACGCGCTGAGACTGCAATTGAGACTGGGCGTGGTGGCGCATCCCAGCTCATGGGAGGCTGTAAACAGGCGGATCTCTATGAGTCTTATCTAGGAGTGAGAACCTGAACACTCTGCAGATCCTTCCCTAAAATACAAAAAAAAAAAAAAAAAAAAAAAAATCAGTCCCTCCAAATATTACCTCAGCAGCAACCCTTTCCTTTCCCTTTGACCGTAAGCATTCGCCACCGTCACAGAGCACGAAGACCAGCATCAGTCACTGTCGATTTTTCACACGCCCAAACGCTGAGCTAAGTGCGAACGCCTAATGGTAATAATTTTAATAAAATTATTAATAAAGATCCAAAGATAATATGCTGCATTTTCCCACAATATTTAATTAGCAGGTAAGTATGGCCTGGACTAATTGTGTAAGCTAGAAATGGCTTTTGTGAACCAAAAATAGCTTTGAAAATAATAAAGGTGGGGCTGGGGAGAGAGCTCAGTGGTCTAGGTGCCTGCCAGGCAAACACAAGGACCTGGGTTCGATTCCCAATACTGCATGCTGTGCCGGGGGCACCATGTTGGCTACTGAAACCAGGCGTGGTGGTACACATCTGCAGCCCCAGCGCTGGGGAGGCTGAGACAGGAGGATCACTACAAGTCCAAGCTGCGTAGTGAAATGCTGTACCAAATAAATAAATAAAATATTTAAAATACTAAAGCTCCCAGGTGGCTATTCCATATATACTATTATGAGGAATTATACACCTGACTTAAAATTTATTATCTTTAAAAAATGCATTTTTAAACCTAATGTATTGTATTACTTAGTTATTGTTTAGCTTTATCGTCTACTATATATTAAAATCACAGAAGCACAAAATTAAAGTTTGCACATTTAGAGAATGAAGAAAAAAGGAAGGAAGATAATATTAAAAAGGATTCAAAAAATAAACTGCGAGCTGTGGACACAACAAGCTGAGACATGGTGCAAGGTGAGCGAGGGTGCCTGGGAGAAGGAACAATAATCCCAACAGCCTCGCCAGCCAAGCTGCAAAATGAATATATGAGCCAAAGTGTCGCCATAAGAGAAGCAATCAAACATCAATGCAAACAGCACAACTTGACCCTTTGATTTATTTTATCCACATGCAACTTTTTAAATGTTCTTTTTGTCTTTTTCTTTCTTGATGTATTTGTTGTTGCAGGGTCTCACTTCGCAGATCAGATTCATGGTGATCCTCCTGCTTGCAGCCTCCCCAGGACTGGGATTACAGGTATGCACCACCATCCCAGACTCTGTGGCCCACTCAGCCCACCCCGAGGGTGGGCCTGGCATGGCATGTGGTGCCAGGGATCGAACCGTGGTCCCTGTGCTTGCCTTAGCTTGCCTAAGCAGATGCTTTAGTCTACTGAGCTATTTTGCTGGCCCCTGTTCTTTTTTTCAGTGAGCTTCAGTTTTCAGCTATGAATTTTCCAATCCCTTGCACTGTCACACCTGATGCCAAAAAACTGATTTAAAAAATTAACCAGTGCTCACCACCCTGCCCAGTGCAAGTGTCCCGTCTGCGTGTTACACGTACGTGTCAGGATGGAGCAGGCCCAGACGCTGACCCCAGCACGCGCCGCCTTCTCTCTCCTGCACTATTCAGGCCAATGGCTCAGCAAACGGCGCAAAGCGTAGCAGCGAGCTCTTCCACCACGTCCACCGCTAAGACTGTTACGAGCTTGGTGCCTTTACACCGGGGCTGTTGTCAGGGCAGAGCAGGAAATCTAAAGACTCTGGGCGACCAGGTCATTTCCAAGGCAACCTGCCCATCTCTTCTTGTAGCTGACCCTGGATCCCAGCCCAAGTGGACCACTGAAGTAAAGACAACTGCCAGGCCAGAGATAGAGATATAGCTCAGTGGCAGAGCACCTGCCTGGTAAGCACAAGGTCTTCAGTTTGGCTCCTAATACCAAAAAACTAAAAATAAAAATACATAATTTCCTTAGCAGCAGAAAATTGCAACTTGGTCAATAAAATGAAAAAAACAAACAAACACATGTTAGGGAAGGTTAGAAATTTTAATCTATATTTGGTAAAAACTTGAAATCATGTGTACTATGTAACTAACAAATACTAAAGAGCCTAAAACAATTATCAAAAGTCCAGTTGACTGAATGTCTTCAGAAATTTCTTTCAGACATCAGAATGAATGCTCTAAACTACACTTAAACAAATTTCATCACACAAATGAGGACGAAAGAAGTGTCAGTAACCAGAAACCTATGATCTATGATAAACTTAGAGATAAAAATAAATAAAACAGGAGCTGGACAGCCCACCAAAGTTCAAGCCTAAATGGAAATTCTAATGTATTATAAATAACTCTATTGATAGGTTATCCCATCTTTAGCTACAAATAGCTAATGATACTTAGCTATTTGTTTTACTGACATCAAGGGTATTTATTTGTGCTGGAAACATAGTGTAGTGGTAGAGTGGTTGGCTAGTGTTTGTAGGCCCTAGGTTTTATCCACCAGACTAAAAAAAGGAAAAAGAATACCAAAAAAAAAAAAAAAGAAAAGAAAAAGAATTCCAAGGACCTGGGTTCAATCCCCAGTTCCACATGCTGTGCCATCCCCACCATGAGCGCACTGAGCCGGCCACCAGGACCAGGCATGGCAGCACACACCTATAATCCCAGCGGTGGGGAGGCTGAGACAGGAGGATCACTATGAGGCCAAGCTACATAGTAAGACCCTGTACACACACACACACACACACACACACACACACACACTGCATTTTCTTCCCAACTGCCTGTGGCTAATTCTCATTTGAAAATCTTCTTTAGCTGTTATTCCCTACTTAAATGGCCCTGTTCTTCATATATTTCCTGTACTTGAAAGAATAT